CTAGAGATCAAGAAAATAGAGGAGTAACTCAACAGATTCTATCTACGCTCTCCTCTACATTGCTGAATAAACACAAATACAAAGATATTCGCGCTGCAATGCTGGTTGAACACGATTGAACACCAAAGGGAAGATTGTTGGGAATATTTTATGGTGTCCAATCAAATTAAATATCTTTGTATTTGTGTATTTATTAATTAAATATGTAATATGGGCCATAAATGTATTTCAGCCCATTAGCCCACTTGTAAGCCTTAGTTAGACATCCTTATGTATAAAAGGATACTAACTTAAGCAAACCCTAAGTCTAACAAGCCTCTACGCACATTAACGCTCATATCTTTCTGAGAGCTTATACGGTATATGGAAGAGGGAGTTTAACGATCAAAATATTGTCAAATCATTCTATGATTCTCTGCTTCTATTTTATTGTAAGATTGTTGATTGATTTTTGGACTATCAAATTGTATGAGCTCTAAGGTATGTTAGGGGTAAGCCTTAAAGGTTACTCTAAGTGAATGGATTCTAAGCATAGGATTTGTTTGAAAATCGGACTAAAATGATGAATTAGAGCTGTATATTTTACCAGTAGCAGAGAGACATATGTTCAGGATCAGAGACAGTAATATTAGAATTAGGAAAAAGAGTAGAAAAAGGAAATCTAGATTCATTGAAAATAACATCTTTAGAGATGTAAATTTTGCCAGTAGCAGAGAGACATTTGTATCCCTTATGCTGAGATGAGTAGCCTAAGAAGATGCACACTTCAGAGTGATAAGCTAGTTTGTGTTTATTATATGGTCTGACAAAGGGATAAATGGAGCAAATAAACACCTTAAGGAAAGAATAATCTGGGATGGAATTATAGAGTTTGGGATAAGGAACAAAATTGAAAACGGAGGCTGAAGGTGTTCTGTTTATTAGATGTACGATAATAGGAAAAACAATGTCCCAAAATTTATAGGGTGGGGTGGAAGGAGCAAGAAGAGTGTCCCTTTTCCACTGTAGATCTGTGTTTACGTTAAACTACACCATTTCGGTGATGAGTATAAGGACAGATTAGTCTTAGTATAAAGCCTTTTTCGTTTAGAAATTGAGTAAAGGATATGAATTCACCACCCCAGTCAGATTGAATTGATTTGACAGAGGCAGTGAATTGAGTTTTAACATATCCAGGAGTATCTAGTGTAGCCATCAATGAAGGATATGTAGTAGGAATAGCCATCAAAAGATGAAATGGGAGTTGGTCCCCACAAATCATTAAAAACTAGTTCAAAAGGAAAAGAATATATAGTTGAAGATGTATGTGATGATAAGCGATGTGCTTTACCCAGACAACAAGCTGAACAAAAATCTATTACATTCTTGGAATGACAAGGAACATTACACTGTTTGAGAATAGATTTTAAAGCCTCAAAATGAGGATGTTCAAGTCTAAGATGTCAAATATTACAAATGTTACTACTAGATTTACTAGAAGACAAGTCTGAAGAAGATTTATTACGTGTGAGGTTATTATTTGGATAAGATGAAACAACATTACAAGTAATGGACCGATTAAATGCGAAGTTGGAACATGGATCAGATTGCAGACTAGAAACATTGTTGACTGAAGTAAGGTCCAGAAAGGAGTCAAATCTGTATAAATAATCATTGCCAAGGACACCATGCATGAGAACTTGTTTAGAACCCTAAGATTTCACAAAGAACTCATAAGGATCAGATTCAAAGAAAACATGGTTATCCTTGGCAAACTTAATTACTAACACAAATGAGGTTTTTAGTTATAGAAGGAACATGAAGTATATTTTGAAGACAAAAAGAATGAGGAATTATAAATGGAAGGGAATGAAGAAAAACCAACAGACTTGATGTCCAAAACTTGGCCATGTAGAATTTGATCACAAAAACTCATCCAAAAATTCTACCGGGAAGCACCTCAAATGGAGGTGGCCAGACAACGTTCCGTAAAAAATTCTTGTCATGAATATTTATCTTGCATAATATACCTTATATATTGTGGACCAGATAAATCTGAGTAGTTATTATTTTACTACTTTAATCCTTAGTTAGCATATCCGCGTTTTATACGCGTTTCATACGTGTTTCCTTTCTTTTGGCAAACATTCTCGTTTTAAACGCAAAAAAACGCCACTCAAATGACATCTACAAAAAAATGTATAACTAAATGAACGGGTTTGTTTACCAGACTAAAAAGTAGATACTAAATGATATCCTAGTAAAGTGCAGGCATCAGCAGCTGTTTTAAAGGTGGTAAACGAACATATTTCTACTTTTTAGTTTTTATTGTTTCTAAATCTTTTCAAAATGTTTCATAAAGTTTAAAGTTTGAAAAGTTTCCAAAGCAATTAGACTACTCCATTTTAACACTTCGGTCGAACGCCTGGACGACGGCAACTGTTTGAAAATCCGGCCACCTCAACTCCCAAATCAGGTTTGTGTAATTCCTTATATTTAGATTTTAGTTACTTAAATTTATACATGTACTAAGCTATGATTTGCTATAGAATAATACGAGTTTATTTATAGAATTATGTTGAAAAATAATGATTGGAGTTTGAACTTCAGTATGATATTAGACTTGTGTTAAATTGTTAATTACTCATTTTTGTGTTAATTCCAAATTGTGATTGAATATAAAGAGAGTAACTTAGAACTATGGTGAAAATACGTACCTTGATAGTTAGTTCTACTTTAAATTTCCAATCATATGTAATGCCAAAAAAATCTAGACCCTAGAGTTGATTAGCTGAATAGTATAAGGTTTTATTCATAAATACTAATTACGGAGTAATTCTTCCATTATTATTATAATTAAATTATTAAATAATTGTTAAAAAGATATAATGTATGTAGTTAAACTGCTAAATGAAATTATCAATATTTTGCCTCTAGTATCTAGTTATTTGGAAAGAGTTAATTTGTCGTGTAAATTTATTTGCAAGTTAAATTTTTTCTAACATTAATTCATTATATATATATATATATATATATATATATATATATATATATATATATATATATATTATGCGCTTTATTAGGTGATATAATTGCGAGGAAGAAAGATCCTTTTTGGGAGCATGCACAAGAGCTTGCTAATAAATTCAAATGCAATGGAAGAGGCTTCAATTATAGATTCAAGTGAAGGACTTGATGATCTTAGCTCACTTTGTCTAATCATCGATGACGGTGATGGTGATGAAGATGACGAGTTCAACTTGGATGCTATGTGATGAACATGACATTTTCATTTTGGTTTTATTTTTTTTTATTATGATGTGCTACATTGTTAGACATAATTTTTTGCAGAACTTATATGTTGGACTTAGTTCCTATTTATTTTCATGACATGGACTTATGCTATCAGTTATGTTGGGAATCTTTTTTATGGAGTAATATAATTTACTAGTTTGTTAAATATGGTTGAATGCATGTTTAGTTAATTTTTCTATTCAAAAATGTGTTTGTTTTGTTTTTCTTTAAGGTTTTTATTATATGTATTTTATGATCTAAATACTAGTATGTTTTGATGTTTAAAACATTACCCGTATTTTAAGTCCGAATTTTTCATAGAAAAATCGTATAATACACGTATACGTATTTAAACGTATTTGAAAAGTCAACGTTTTTTTGACCGTATTTTTTGTCCATGCCACTGAATAAAACATCAACGTATCAGACACCAATTAATTCCCGTACCGTATTTAACCAACTAGTCTTTATTCCACTTATATTTTTTGTTTGTTTGTAATTGTATTTGTTACTTGAATTCAACTGAAAAGGGAATTAATATTCTACTGATTACATTGTTATTCATTCATAATAAATTACTAATATTACCAGTCAATTTATTACTACATACTTTTTGCTTATGGTGCACTAGTAGAAGAATACAGAGTATTATCTTGGAGTTGAACTAATTGCTATTGGATGCGTACCTTTGAGCTATTAAACTTAGGCTAAAGGGTCAAATAGGCCCCTGTACCTTTCTGGATTGTTCAATTTGCCCCCCAAACTCAAAAAAGCTCCAATTGGCACCCTGAACTCCATAAAAAGATTCAAATTTTACTTTTTGAAGGTCACAAGCCGGTCACCGCCACATCACCCGGTAGGGTGCCAACTGTGAATGTGACTGGCAACTTATGGGGTCAAATAAGCTCATGAACCTGACTGAAATGTTCAATTTACCCCCTCAACTCCTAAATTTTTTTTGACATTTTTTGGGGTTAAGGGGGTAAATTGAACGATTCGATCGGGTTCAGGGGCTTATTTGACCCCCTAAGTTGCCACGTCACATGCACAGTTGGCACACTACTGGGTGATGTGGCGGTGACCGGATTGAAACCTGCAAAAAGTGAAATTTGAATATTTTTATCGAGTTCAGGGTGTCAATTGGAGCTTTTTTGGGTTGAGGGGGCAAATTGAGCAATCTGAAAGGGTACAAGGACCTATTTGACCCTTTAGCCTTAAACTTATTTGCTTGACGGTTTATGTTTATTTTAAATATTTATGTTTTTGTTATGTTTAAATTTATTGTTTACACTTGGATATTTTTGTGATATATGAACATCGAGATATCATGTATGTATAATGTAATGGTCATAATTTCATGAATTGAAAATTGATTTTTTTTATATAATCGAAGGTAAAATGTGTTCATTTTATTAAGGTAATACTCCTTTTTGGGACATCCATAAAAAGAAAGTGAGAACTTCTTTGCGTGACGGAGGTAGTAAATTTTTAGAAAGAACCGAAAAAAGGTAAGAACCAAACCGAATTTAACTAGAACCGAACCAAATTTAACAACTATATTTTTAACAAGAACCGAACCGATCTCAGGTCTAGTTGATGTGATATGTTTAAGTCTAGTTTTTTCAAGCAAACAGATTCTAGTTTTTTCTTTTTGAACGGAAAAATATTTTAAACATAAAAGACCAAAAAAATTAAAAAGACCCTCAATAGCTTTTGTTTTCCGCCATTGGGATTCATCAAGAGTTTAAGCCTGTGGATCCGGCAGATGATACCCACTTTAAATCCTAACCGTCCTTGTCAGAAGAAAACACACATTCCGTCCATTTCCTAACCGCAAGATTCAGGTTTTTAAAAACACACGGATAGGGAATCTGGACCGTCCAGTTCCATCAACCGCTGCATACCTCAATCTTATAAATCTCCTTCGATCTGTTAAGAGATGAAACTTTCGCATTTGCCCGAGTGATAGGCCTGGCCTGCTCTTGATATCCTTCCGAGGTTTGTTCAAATCCCAGTGCCATCTTGCTTTACAATACGGAACTTGATCTCATGTGTATGGGCTTGCCCTTTGAATAGGAGACCAATTACTGATATGATTTTGCGGTTTTGTCCTAGCAATTATACGATTAGGGTTTCTCGTTGCATCTCCAAAATTGCTATGCTCCCACTTCATTAGTACGGAGTATTTGCTTCTGCCTCTGTATTTTCTTTCAAATAACCGCACAATAAACCATTTTAAATCTCATCGAGGCGGATGAAGAATTCTTGTCTAAACTTTGGTTTTAGGACACGGTTCCATGATCTTTTTAAATTTTTGGAATAAGGATTATTGATCTATCTCTTATCTAATGTCTGATGTCACATTCTTGTCATGGATGCGCAGATGGCTCGTACGAAACAAACTGCTCGTAAGTCAACTGGAGGAAAGGCTCCAAGGAAGCAACTTGCAACCAAGGTCTCTCTCTTCTAAACAATTTTTCATTTTCAATTTTGTGTTTGTTTATTTTTATTGAAACTTACTCCGTATATCTTAGCGTATGATGGGTTGATATCTGCAGGCTGCCAGGAAGTCTGCACCAACAACAGGTGGAGTGAAGAAGCCCCACAGATACCGCCCTGGTACTGTTGCACTTCGGTGAGTGAATGCACTGCACTGATTGTAATCTATCTGTTCTTAGGTTGTTATCATTATCCACTATTACTCAGCTAAAATTTTGCAAACTGATAGTGAAATACGAAAGTACCAGAAGAGTACTGAACTCCTGATCAGGAAGCTTCCTTTCCAGAGGCTTGTCAGGGAGATTGCCCAAGATTTCAAGGTAGCATAAAACATCGAAACTGTCTTTTTTTGCTAGATATAATGTCTATTGGAATCTATTAATACTCATCAGCGTTAGTTGCTTGTTTTGGTTGTTGTATTTTGTATGGAAGGAAATCATATCATTGTTTTGTTATAGTATTAGCAGTCCCTTGTTTTGGAAAGTTTCAGGTTTTCAGTTTTCATGAAATAAGAAACCTCTATCTTAAGAGGAGAGGGTAGTTTCGAGTTCTTCTTTGAAAGTTTTTGAAAATTAAGAGGATTAGATTATTAGATTAACAAGTCAAGTTTTTGTTTGAGGGAATGCATTTGATGCAACGTTTTTAGTTCTGGACGGACACTGCACATTTTATATATTGTCTGATAAAATACATATCATCCCTTACTTGAGAAACCGCCCACCAAACAAGGAATAATGCTCTGTTCTCTCTTTTGGATTTTGCAGACTGATCTACGTTTCCAAAGTCATGCTGTCCTTGCCCTCCAGGAAGCTGCAGAGGCATACCTGGTAGGTCTGTTTGAGGACACTAACCTGTGTGCCATTCATGCCAAGCGTGTGACCATAATGCCCAAGGACATCCAGCTTGCTAGGAGGATTAGGGGTGAACGTGCTTAAACAATGATCTTTATCTCTATGCTGTATTAACTGTTGTCTGTCTCTTCTAGATTTTAGTAGCTGCTGAAGCTTTTAATAGCCTTTGCTGTATGCCCAGCTGGTGCGCTTCTGTGCTGTGTTGATGCAAAAGATTATTTTGTGAACTATAATGTGTAATGTTTTTTGTCACACCCCTGGTGTTGAACAATTTTAATGTTGGTCAGTGTTTATCTTATTTTGTTTGTGACGTCGACAACTGGAGAACACATTGGCATATGGTTGTGCTCTGCCATTATTTAAAAACAAGGTGGGTTACATAAGCTGAATTACCTCGTAGACTTCCAAACAATAGCACTGCCTTCGATTTCTTTCACCCTGCAAAAGCATTAGTTTAGTGGAGGTTAAGGAAAAGCTCAAATATAAGAGCCATAACAATGCACTCTAACTCTCTAAGTCTTGGCTTCTTTGGTGGAAAAGAGTCTTGTTTCACGTAGGCATGGTTCGGTTCCGGTTCGGGCCTGGGCCCGGCCGGGCCTCGGTTCAAGAAGGGGAGGCCCGGAACCAGCCCGGGTAACCCCTGGGTCCGGGCCTGGCCTCGGTTTTTTTTTTTGGCTTTTACTAGTTAACCCCCAACCTTCACCCCCAAACCAACCCTAACCACCTCAAATGACCCAAAATACCCAGCCCAACCCAAAAACTTAAAAAAATTAAAAAAAAAAGGCCTGAATCGGCCGGGCTGGTTCACCTTTTGAAGGGCTTGAGCCCGAACCGCCTTCCCACCGGGTCGGTTGGCCCGAACCGGGCCCGGAACCGGTTCACCGGGCCGGGCCGGGCCCGCACAGTAGCTGGCTGGTCCGGTTCTGGACCGGTTGACCTGGTCCGAGTCCACCCCTAGTTTCACGAAGCACGTTCAAACAAAAGTAGTGGCGTGTGCGGAAACGTATTACTGAGGACTATTTAAAATGTATGTAGATTATATTCCATTTTGACCAAACAGAAATTATGATTCAATTTTTTATTTCATCACTTATTTCATAATCTGTGGTGTGGGACTTTAATACTTCTCACGATCAAGCACTCGGCAAGGCAAAGCACATTGAGCCGCCTGCCTTATCGAGTCCTCGGAGAGTCCCTTTCTCGTTATGTGCCCACTTCAACATCCCTAATGTGCCCCTCCAAGATTGATAAGCTGGTTTCGTCATTGAAAGGAAACTGATAAATTATATTAGAAACCAACAATCCATGACATTACAAACTTTGCAGTACGGAGCAGTCTCCTACTATCAAACCCACAATATCTCGAAGGTCCTATCGCCCTTTGATTAGACATAGAAACAATCACCCTAATAAGAGCGGAACGAGTCGCTAACCATGTGAGAGATTTGAAGATCATCTCAGCTTCTCGGCTTCTGAAGCCATCTTACTTCTTCACAAACAATAACTGCCCACCTCAAAGGCATAGCTCCTCCAAATAACTAAGCGTTCAAAGTTAAAAACAAACTGGCAAAAAGCAATGGTAATATCTAAACTAACTTTCAGCTAGTGGGACAACAAAATCCATACTTCAGGCGTCGTCTTCCAGACCCTAGTCTTGCAGTTCCTATGTGGTGGTGGTTCAGGAGGAGGACGAAGTAGGGATGGACTCGGGCTGGGTGGCCCGACCCGGAACCGGCCTGACCCGGTGGCTCGGTTAGTGACCGGTCCGGGTAGGCCCGGCCCGTGGGTTTTCCGGTTTGGGCCAAAACCTATTTTTTTTTCAATTTTTTTTAAATTTTCGGTTTGGGCTGGGTATTTTGGGCCATTTGGGGTGGTTTGGGGGGTTGGGGGTGGGAGGGGGGGGGGGGGTAATTAGGAAGAGGAAAACAAAAAAAAATGATAATGGGCCCGTCCCGGACCCGGACCGGACCCGGTGGTTACCCGGGCTGGTCCCGGGTCCACCATATCTGAACCGCCGGCCCGCCCGGGCCTAGGCCCGACCCGGACCCGGCCCGCACCCGAGTCCATCCCTAGGACGAAGCATCCAAAGCACCCGCATCAATACCTCAACCATCCAATTGGAGCCCAAATTTGCCTTCTTCAACAGGAGTAGCCGAATCTTAATACCTCATAATATTTCAGTGTGGAATTCCAACATGTTTCGAACTCGGTTTTTGAACAAGCAGATTAGTGCATTTCTGTTTTTCCCTAAGAGGTGTACTACAAAAGCGGATGCACAACTTCACTAGAGGGTAGCTACCTAGGCATGGACTCGGGCTGGTCCGGGGCGAGTCTCGGGTCGGGCCCATGCGGGCTTTTTATTGGGTTGTTGAGGCTCGGGTAGCTACCGGATCCGGGTCGGGTCGACTACCTTTTTTTTCTAATTACTTCCTACCCCCACCCCCACACCCCAAACCCTTCCAAAACACCCAACCCGACCCATTTACCTTCCAGTCGGGCCGTGCCGGTTCATTATTTGGGGACCCGGAGCCCGCCCTGAATATTTGCGGTTCGAGTATGTTACACCCCGCCCGAAACCGGGCCTCGGGTCGGGCCAGTTCGAAACAATGCCGGGGTGAGCCGGTTACGGGCCGGTTGACCCGACCCGAGTCCATCCCTAGTGCTACCTCCAATAAATTCCCAATAATCTCCTATATCATATTTGAAAAAAAAAGTATATATAATTGCCACTAATAAAAAAAGTAAATGCCCCCATACTTCAGCCCATCTCCAGTCGGCCCAAAGTAAAATAATATGCTCCGTATACTTCAGCCCGATGCATCCTAAAATAATAGGGGTTAATGCATCAAACCCCTCTGTGATACGGAAATTCGGTGCATTAGCCCCCGTGATTTAAAAAATGTGTCAAATCCCCTTGTGTTTTAATTAATCATGCACAAAACCCCTTTTATGAATAAACTTAACAATTTGGAAACCACATTTCCTAATATTCTGATTGAATATGCAAGTAAATATGTTAAAATCTCTAAATCATAAAAAGTTGTAATCATTTTTCTTTTATTTGACAATTGAATTTATTCATAAAAGAGGTCTTGTGCATGATTAATTAAAACACATGGGGGTTTGACGCATTTTTAAATCACAGGGTGCTAATGCGCCGGATTTCCATATCACAAGGGGGTTTGGTGCATTAAACCCAAAATAATATTCCAGCTTTGGTAAATAGGGAAGTCTCAAGTGTATTATTGAGTGTTAACTATTCTGTATTTGAGTAATTTGACTAGTGAGTATTGATTATTGTATTATTTGTATGTGTTAAAGTGTTATGGTGTATTTGTGTTTAAATTGTTAAAAATCTAAGGGAAAACTATCAAATAAGTCCTACTATACTCAAAACATCGATTAAGTCCTTGTACTTTAAAATCACCCAATTGAACCCTTTAAATTATAAAAAACACCCAATTGAGTAATTTAGCAAGTCAACTATAGGTTTTCCGGTCATCTGTTCACGTGGCATTCTTTTTTATTATTTTTAATTCCACGTTGCACTCCATATTTTTTATTTATTAAAAAAATGAAGTCATCCCTTGACCATTCACCAAATCTCAGAAGTTATCAAATCCGTCGCCTGTTACCTCGCCGGAAACTACCTTTCTTGTCCGCCCTAGCAAGTTTAGCCTCCTCACAGGCCAAAACGTAACCGGTGGTTCACATCTACTTCTTCCTCCTGCATCATCACTTAATCAGGACGTCGTCGGCGGAGGTTTAGAGCTCTTCTCAACAGAGCTAAAATACACCTCCCTAAAGGACATCCTCTCCCATCTTCCTGCACAAACTTCGCCTTCACTTCTCTGCGTTCTTCCACCGCCGCCGACATAAAAAAATGTACCACCCATCCTTAACTTCGAGTCTTTGACATCCTTAACTCCGGATTCACCCCCTTGTGAGGGTCATCAAGTACAAATTTTAATAGGAAAACGACTCAAAGCTCTCTCTCTGCTACTTTGTTCTGTTTTTAATGGGATATACATATAAGATACATAGCCACTTTGACTGTATGTTTTTAGTGTAAATTCTTGTTACTTTGTTACTGGGATTCGATATGGAAATATAAAAACTTCCCCGAAATTTAATGGCGTATCCTTCAGATTTACCAGAGATCTTTTCTTTGCTTATCTTTTCAAATCTTTAACTTGATCTGAGTTTCTATGAAGGAATATCTATGTTCGAACAGGGGAAGACGCAAAGGGAATGAGTTAGCTGGGATTTTATTAAAAAAATAGAAACAACTTTTTTTGAAGTGACACGTGTGCAGTCAATGATGCGCAAATTATACCGTACACCCGGATGTACGGTCCTCACCGTACATCCGGGTATTTTGGAAATTATTATCAACTTCTCCCAGTCCATCATCTGCATATGCGTTGCCCAATTTCCTTCTCCCAGGCCGTTCCTCCGTTGGAGATTAGTTGCAGACGTGCCTGCAAGTGATAATAGGGACATCCAGAGCTGCCAGCTCATGCTTAAGAAGTGGGATCCACCATCACCTCAATTTGCTAATTTAATTAGGTTGTGAACATGTTAGATATGCTCAATTGACATTTAATATACGTATATGCTTGTGATAATAGGGACTTCCAAAGCTGCCAACTCATGCTTAAGAAGTCTTTTGTTTTTCTATATCTCATTGTGTAAGTTACGTATGCTCATTTAATATTCGTTTTATGCTCATTTTAAAATGTCATATCAATACACAAATGAAATGAGTTTTATGTTAAATTCAAATGAGTATAACGTCCAAAATGAATGAGCACACAAAAACGCGTTTTTAAATTTTTTGATACTCATTTCGTAAGTTATGTATGCTCATTTGGTAGTAATGATATGCTCAAAAAGTACAATTTTTTAATTACAATTTTAGGGTTTGTTATATTGTAATAATATACTTCATTTAGTTATGAAATTCGGATGTACTTCATTTGATTGTGTTTTTTGTCATGCATGCCATTTTTGTTATTAAAAACTCAAAAAGTACAATTGTTTCATAATAAATAACTAAAAATGCCAAAATATTAAAAATTCATGAAATCATTGTTGTCCTCTTCTTCTGCTTGGACGCATATCCATCTCATTTTGAAACCTTGTTTGTTGACGACGCCCCACTCGAGAAGTTCGTGATAAATATTTCGACGGTAAAAGATGGATCCCAATATCCGGCCACTCATTCACATTTGGTAAAGGCATAATATCACCCGCATTTGCATTAATGTAAGAGCTAAGTTTATATACCTCCGGAATAAGTTGATTGACAGGGCGGTTGAGGAAGTGACACACAGCGTGCATGTGGGTGCATGTCATCCAATTCATCCTCCAGCACCCGCAATCACAATCACGCCTTGAAAAGTCTACCGTAACCG